CACATAATACAATAAATCTCAATCGAGCAAGAGATCATTATCATTATTGGTGAACAATCCCTTTTAATTAATGCGGGTCCCTCAACTCTGTAGCATAATAAATCAACCAATCAATATGTCAATAACTTATCCTATTGGAGGAGTTCATTATTACTATTGTTGAGATTCATTTACTATTAGGCGAGCACTTTCATTAAAATAGTATGTGGGTCCCTTAACCATTGCATGAGATTCATTATTACTATAGTTGAGAGTACTTTCTCGCAAAAGTAAAGATACGTATTTTGAGAAAACCACTCAAGATGAAGGCACGTGAAGTCAAAAACCAACTTCGAGCATGAGAAGTGAGGTTGTGCCAACAATATGACAAACGGGGAAAAGACAGAATAGGGAAAAAGACGAAACAAGGAAAAGGACGAAAGGCGCATAGTGTCCGAAAAGTGAAAATGCGAAAATGACTTGGTCCTCAAAAGAAGTTGTCAATTCACATAAGAGAGTCTCAGAAACCAATTCCGAGCACTCGAGATGACACTAAGCGACACGAAACAGAGCTCAGAAAAGAAAATTAAACGAAAAAAATTCATTCGTAAAATTTCAGGAAAAAGGAAAGGAAGGCAAATGACCGGGTCGTTACAGGATCTCAATAACAGCCGCCTCCTTTACCCCGAGATCAAAACCAAGTTTGATCAACTAGCTAAATTGGAACAGGTTGCTCAAGCAATCTTTGTTGAGTCAAGCAAGCATAGGAAGAGTTAGGAAGACCTTGCTGAAGAAATTCCTCTTCTAGAAGAAGTGAAAAACAAGGCTATGGAAGTGGCTGACCAATCTAAGCTTCTTTGGGAAAGCTTCAAAGGCAAGTTTGCCTCCTTATGAAATGATGTGGTTCTTTGTTAGCTTTTATGCTCCTTTTTGGACACTTTCTTTTAATGTAATAATCATAGGTGTTTTAGGTCTGTACACCTTTCTTTTGAATGGCATGTAATAAAACTTTCTCATATATTGAAATACCATTTTAAATTTCATTCTACTTTGCACTTTCAAACCACACTTTATTTAATAGAAACGGAATGCATAAGAAATAAAAGGCAAGATTGAAAATATAACTTAAGAACCATGAGTTGGTTCCAAACGCAATACTTTAACATGAAATAACCAAAATACCTCTTGTTAGAATACTTAGTTGTTTTATTCATTTGAAAATCCTATAAAAATTCATAATTGCCAAGGCCAGTGAAACGGCCATTGGAAAATTTTCAAGTGTTTCCACAGGAAAGTCCTCTTTCCCTTCCAAATGCCACTTTCTTTATGGAAGGCTTCACCAACCGTTTATTCGGTTGGTCTCAGTATCTTTCTCTCCCAGGCTTTAAAGATTGAGGGGTGATACTGTTTCAAGTATACCCCATTGATGGGAGATGAATGAGACTCACCATCTATATCCATCAATTGATAGGCTCCTTTTCTTAGAACCCTTTCAACTAAGAAAGGTCCTTCCCATTTTGGAGTCCACTTGCCATACTCTCTATCTCTAGTCCCGAGTGGTAATTTGACTTTCCAAACCATGTCTCCTTCTAAGAAAGACTTAGCCTTTACTTTTTTGTTGTAGGTTCGCATCAACTTCTTCTTCTGTGCAATGACATGGTCTAAGGCGCTTAACCAAACTTCATCAAGATCTTCTAACTCTGCTAGCATGGCTTGAGTATATTCAGCTAGAGTTAGCTCATTTTGAAAAGCTACTATTGTTGACTTTACTGTTATCTCCATTGGAAGTACTGCGTCGTGTCCATATGTTAACATATAAGGAGTAACTCCAGTACTTGATCTTTTTGAATTTCTATATGCCTACAGTGCTTCTGACAAAAGGTTATGCCACTGTTGTGGATACTTCTCAATCATCTTCTCAATTATGCCAATGATGACTTTGTTAGACACCTCTGCTTATCCATTTGCCTGAGCAAAGTATGGAGTAGAACTTGTGAACTGAATGTTATATATATCGAAGAGATCCTGCACCATACTTCCTAGAAAAGAAAGACTTCTGTTAGTGGTGATGGTTTCTGGAATCCCAAACCTGTGAATGATATGCTTTTCAATGAAATCCATCATTGTTGATTGTACACAAGACTTCAAAAGAATGGATTCAACCCATTTTGTGAAATAATCTGCGGCCACTACTATATGAGTATGATCACCGAAGGAGGTATGATTTTTCCAATGAAATCCAACGCCCAACCTCTAAATGGCCAAATCTTCACCACAAGTTGGATGTTGATGGCTGGTACTCTTTTAATAGGACCATGCTTCTGACAAGCTTGACAACTTTTGGCAAAATCATTACAATCTTTTAAAATGCCTTTCTAATGATATACGTACCTTCTTAAAAGCCATCTCATCTTTATTCCAGCTTGATGAGCACCACATAGCCCATTATAAACCTCCCCCATGACTTGAACTGATTCTAGCTTGTCTAAACACCTAAGGAAAAGACCATCTTATTTGCTTTTCTTGTATAATTCTCTGTCCATCAAAATGTAGTGAGGAGCTACAAGCTGAACTTTCCTATTCGCATCTGTGCTTGGATTCATCAGGAACTTAATGATGGGAACTCTCTAATCATTTGGATCTGCCTCCTCCAAGTTAACATAACTAACTTCCAAATGTTCATTCCTCATTTCTACAGATGGAAGTGGTCTCCTTTTTACTGAGATTATGGTTTCTTCTACCCTAGGTGGAACTCTTATACTGGATACTACCTGAGCCAGTCCATCTGCCTCTTTGTTCAGGTGTCTTGGCCAATGATGTAACTGATAATCATCAAATTGATCAAGTAATTGTAAGGCTAAGAAATGGAAAGGCCTCAGATGATGACTAAGGCATCTGTATTCATCAGCTAATTTGTTGATCACGAGCTTCGAATCTCCAATGATGAGTACACTTCTGGCTTTCATTTCCAGTAGAATTTCCAGACCGATTATGAGTGACTCATATTCAGCCTGATTGTTAGTACATAAAAAATCCAAAAAGAAAGAAAATGATGTCTTCCTTTTCCTTGGTGAAATTATGACAATTCCGGCTCTTCCTCCATCGCTAATATATGAACCATCAAAGAATAACGTCCATAGAGAATGTTCGAGGTAGAGATTATCCACCTCATCACACATTTCTATTGCTATTTCAGTGGAAGGGTGATCGGCCAGAAACTCTGCTAATACACGTCCCTTGACTGCTTTCTGTGGAATGTACTTAAAACTAAACTCTATCAAGGCCAATGACCACTTTCTAATCCTTCCAGTAATCAAAGGCCTCGATGGCATGTACTTAATCAAATCAGTTTGAGAAACAATGTACACAACAACCGAAAGCATGTATATTCTTAATTTTATGGCAGAATAATATAAAGCAAGACATAACTTTTCAATTAGAGTGTACCTGCATTCCACTGGAGTGAGTACTCGACTAAGGAAGTAAACAACCAGTTCCTTTCCCTACTCATTATTTTGTGCCAATAGAGTCCCAATGGACTCCTCAGCGGCCGATAAGTATAACCTTAAAGGCTGCTTCTTTATTGGTGGCATCATTACAGGTGGATTTGATTAGTGTCTTTTAAGTTCTTTAAAAGCTACTTGATGGTTTGTCGATTGAAAATCTTCTGTTTCTTTCAACTTCATAATAGATGAAAAAACATGGGTTTCCCAGCATGATTGGAAATGAATCTGCAAAGAAAACCTACTTGCCCCAAAAACCTCTGGAGCTCCTTCTTACTCTGAGGAGGTTGTGCTTCCATAATGGCCTTAGCTTTGTTTTTTTCAACCTCTATTCCCCTCTGATGCACCAGAAAACTTAAGAAATTTCCAGCTGAAACTTCAAAAGCGCATTTCAATGGGTTCATCTTCAGCTTATGTAGCCTCATCCTTTTAAAGGCCATATCTAAGTTGATAAAGTGTTAAGTCTTTTCAGATGACTTGATGACCACGTCATCTATATAAACCTCCATAAACCTTCCAATTATATCATGGAAAATTGCATTCATCGCCTTTTGGTAGGTAGCACCTGCATTCTTAAGGCCGAATGCCATAACCACCCATTCAAATGTCCCAATAGAGCCTGGACATCTGAATACCATCTTTGAAATATCTTCTTTAGTAATATAGATCTGATTGTAACCGGAATGGCTGTCCATGAATGATAGAATTCCATTCTTTTCCGCTGCATCTACCAATTGGTCTGCCACGGGCATTGGATATTCATCCTTTGGAGTTGTATAATTGATATTTCGAAAATCTATGCACACTCTTAGTTTGTCATTCTTCTTGATGACTGGCACTATATTTGAAAGCCATTCCACATACTTGATAGTTCTGATGAAACCTGCCTTTAAAAGCCTTTCAATTTCTTCTTTGACTTTCAGAATAACTTCATATAGGAGGTTGTTTGAAAGGCCGGTACCCTTCTTTGATTGGTAGTTTGTGCTCCACCAATTTTCTAGAAAGACCAGGCAGCTCTTCATATGTCCAAGGAAAATAATCTTTGAATTCTTTTAAGGAAGAAATCAATTCTTCTTGAAAATTTGGTTCTAACAGCCCACTTATATAAGTTGGCCGTGGATCTTCCTTTGCCCCCAAATTAATTTCTAACAGTAGATCCTAAACCTCGGCCTTTAAATCATCAAGCTTTGCTGGAGCAGATTTCAAATCTGCTAGTTGAATCGCATCTAGTTTACCTTCTGGATCTTCGGTGGTTTCTACCAAGTTACTGGAAAGTACCTTAGCACATCTTCTACTTCGTTCTAGCTGTAATTTGGCTAGGTATGCTTTTAATCTTGCCCGGCAACAGTTCACCACCTCATTTCTTGCCCTCTTTTTCTTGTGAGCTTCTTCCATTAAAACTATTCAAAGTGTAAGGTGTTGCACGGCCTATGAGAAGATTACTGGCCTTAACATCTCCTGAAACAACTCCTTAGCTACTTCTTCCGTAAGAGTTTTCCGCATTGTCACCTATTTGGGTCAGCCCTTGCTGTCTTTTCCAATGAACCTTACTGGAACAAACTCTCCATTGTAGAGCTCAGCATCTGCGTGATACACTTTAGCAATGAATGGTTTGTTGTCCACCTCTACAATCTTAACTTCATCGCCATCCCAAAAAATTAGCATTTGATACAACGTGGACGGAATGCAAAAATTGTAATGTATCCATTCGCGGCCTAATAATAAATAATAGGCCGCTGTGGATTCCACAATAAAGAATGCTGTCATGGTTGTAATATCTCCAACAATCAATTCCAATGAAAGGATTCTTTGTGTTTCCACCGAGCCTCCAGTAAAACCGCTGATAGCCACATCACTAGGAATTACATCCTCAGCTGTCTTGCCCAATTTCCTCGTGACATTAATAGGAATAATATTTAAAACTGAGCCATTGTCCACCAAGACTCTTGAAAGTGGACGACCCTCAATTAATACCTTTAAGTAGAGTGGCTTCAACTTTTGAGTCATTCCAATAGAGGGTTTCTCCAAAACCACCTTTTTTGGAGTTGAAAGTATATCATCTTAAATTTCAATTTCACAAGGCTCTTGGAAAGCCTCAGCTTCTTCTTCTGAAAATTCCTCTGTAATTTTTTCTATGTGTATACCGTCAATCTTTTTCTCTGGAACTAAATCCAATTCAGCAACCTCTGTTTCTTTTGGAAGTGACTCGTCATCAGCAACATCACCTATCACTGAAGATGGCTGATTTGGTTTGGATTCAAAGACCAATGGAAGGATAACAACCATATTGCATGACATTTCCTCTGGAAAGCTTCCAAAACGGATTTTCTTCAAACTGGATGAGTTCTCAGAATTCTCTAGTTCTTTTACTGGAATTACTTCTTGCGTCTTATCTTTCTCCACAAGGGACTGTTCTAGCTCAGAAGCAAAGTCTTCTAAACAGTCTGGGACTTTATATTTTCCCCTTGCCAATTTTTTGGTCAAGTCTGTGGGCTTCTTACCTCATTTTTTGCTTTCCAGCCATAATCCTCCTCCCAAAGCTTTCTTCCATCGGCTTTTCTCCTTTGGAAACGACACTTCTATGTTCGCGTCTAAGCTGCATCTCTATATTTGGGAAACTTGGGATGGTCCACCCTTCTCCACCTTTCTAAATGGGGAATTGGGGGCTTGACCATCCATTGATTGAGGATTCTAGTTTCTTTCTTTACCCAGACTTCTGAAGCGACTCTGGGCTTTCTATGAGCAGCATTAATGAAATCCTCATCTTTTCTAGTAGGTCTTTCCACCTTCCCTGCATGAAATTTGGAATCTCTTCTTTTAGGCAGAAGAATGCTTCTTTCCTCATAATCCCTTACTTTCCTTGGCCGAAACCTGAAATTTTCTGCATATTCAGGTCTGTTCTGACTAACAAGCCTCCTGTCAACATGCCGTTCTTTGGTTGGAATGGTTATAGTAACTGATTCTACCAGCTGTTGAAAAGTCAATCTGTCATAAACTTTTTTTTTTTTGCCACGCTCCTCACTTGATGTTTGCCCTTCTTGTTCTTGCCTATCGATTTATGGACTTTTCACTGAGGCCAACACCCTTGCTGGATGAGGGTAATTTGAGCCTCTCGGAGTTTCCTCTCCAGTTCCGCCACAGTTTTCTCTAATGGAATTGACTCTGGCTCGGCAACTATTTTCCCTTTAGCCTTTCCTTTGTCCAAGTCCACCTTCTTTCTGGGATGGTTAGCAGCGATACTAATTACATTGGTAGTGACCGCTGCTGGAAAAGGATTCCCATCTACTCCCATTGCTTCACTTTTTTCTGGAAACTTCATCTTCCCCTCCTCGATCGCTTTCTTCACAATATTATAAAAAATAACACAATTATTAGTTGAATGTCTCCAAGAATTGTGATACTTACAATAGTCTTTCCCAAGTAAATCGTTAGGGGTTGGGAGTTTATGCCCAGGAGTTAGAATTAGCTACTTATCTGCCATCAGCAAGTCGAATATTTGCTCAGCTTTGGTAATGTCAAAGGAATATCCTTTGGTGGAATCAGGTACCCCTTTCCTATTTGAAGTGGAAGCGGCTTCGACACTTGTCGTAGCTACAGATTTTGACTTCATAAGTGCCTCACATATATATGGCATTTTGATGTTTAATTCTGCCATATGGATCTCGAAATCACTATCAAGGTCAGCAGCAAAGACTTCATAATTTGGATCGCAATAGTAAGTTCCTTTTGAGGAAGCTTTCCTATCCTTCTCCTTATGAAGTAACCCTTCATACTTGGCAACTTTACTCGCCAAGTCAAAGAAATCACAAAATTCTATCATTTTGAATTTCTTGCATAATTCAAGGTCTAAACCATTGATAACCATTTTGACATACTCGATTTCAGGAAGATCTACATGATACTTATGTTTTGCCTTTCTGAATCTGGACAAGAAGGCTTCTATGGACTCTTCTGGCAATTGGTTAAGCCTAGAAAGATCAGCCATGGAAACTTCTGGCTCAGTTCGATAAAAATGTGTATGGAACATCTCTTCAAACTGATGCCAACTATTAATGGAATTTGCAGGCAAGTTAGTGTACCATTTGAAGGCATATTCGATCAAAGTATTAGGAAACAACTGGACTTTCAACCATTGACTGCCTCCTGCTTCATCGCATTAAACCGTAAATCGGCTTATGTATTCCACGGTGGATTGGTTGCCTTCGCCACTAAATGTGGCAAATTCAACAATTCTGAAATTCCTTGGATATTCAACATTATCTACGAACTCAGGGTATGGTTTCCTATAGACAGGTCTTCCACCCCTTCTAGTCAAACCAAATTCCTGCTGAAAGAATTCAGCAAGCTGGCATTTATCCATCACCGGCAACTGAATTGGTGGTTGGTAATTCTCCGGCCCTCCTTGTGGTAGGTTGGCCATGGGTTGGCCCCCAAACACCATTAGAAATGTGTTTAGGTCCGAGTTATTCCTCCAGTGACCTCTGTTGCCTCCTTGGTCAAGAGGTTCCCTTGGTATGTTCTGCCCCCCACCTGCTGCAGGAAAAACCTGAGGTGGTCTTTGAGGAATGGTAGGTGGTGGCTGAACATTCTGTTGGCCAACATTAGGCGAAAAATACGACTGATTTCCCAAATGACCTGCCTATGCTGTACCCTGAGAAGACCCAAATTAATGCAAATTGTTAGAAAAAAATTTCATGACTAAACTGTTGAGGCAAAGTCGTAGGAGCTGAATTCTGAACTTGCTGGGTCATTGGAATGGACATCGATTGTACAGGTGGCACCTGCACTATTTGTGCCTGTGGTATAATACTCACAGGTTGATGAGATGGACTTTCCTCATGAAAAGTACTTAGCCTATTCACTGGAATGGCCGATTGTTGAGAACTTTTTGAATTACTTGGCCAGTCGGCAATGCTTTTATTAATACCGGCCATGCTTTGATTAATACCAGCCATACTTTGAGAAAGATTGGCCATGTTATGAGGAAAACTAACCAAGCTTTGAACAAGATTGGCCATGCTTTGAGGAATAATGGCCAAGCTTTGAGAAAGATTGGCCGAAGACCGGTTAAACGAAACTAACTGGTCCAGCAATTGATCCATCTTCAAGTTTTGCACAAAGATGGCCTCTTCATGACTATGAGCAATTTTCCCTATAGCATCCATGATAGGTTCGTTTGCTTTGACGAACTTTATAACTATATTTTTTACTTCTTCAAAAATGGCATGTGAACTTTTATCAGGAAGTCTAATAGCCTGTTCTTCTTCAATTTCGGCAGGATCTTGAATAGATTTGCCATGTCTTTTTCCTCCCGCCATAGAAACACTCTATTCAGAATGTCCCACCGGGCGTGCCACTATGTTTGGCCTGAAAAAAGCTAGTGCCGATTCCAATGGAACAGGAAGGGCGTGCCAGGAACTGCAGTAGTTCCAAAGAGAGATCTAAACAATATTCTAAAAGGAAGATTGCGAGACCAGGCGATTGTGATGAGGTCTGGAATGAACACCTCAGGGTTCTTTTTGCCTTTGATAAAAGACTTCGGGAAAGTTAACTGGCTAGGAAGGAATGAACTACTTGAGAAAGTAATTGAAAAGACTATAAAATTATCTAATGAAAAGTAAAGTGCATGACTAAAACTAATCATAGTGAAAGTGCATTGCAATGAAAAGTATGTTGTATTGAAATGTTGTGTTTGGCGTTGAGTAGCCCTATTACGTTACAACATAATGACCTATTTATAGAATGAAAAATATAATCAGTTAATAATAGCAATTCCATTGATGCCTCTAAATGCTTCTAAGTGTCCAAGCCATGCAATCTTCCAGAATTTCCACGTTCTTCTTCCACGTTCCAATCATGTAACCATGTCTGGTAATTGTGTCTGGAACTCGCACGTTCCAAACATCTTGGAACTGTGTTTTGATTTCCTGGAACTTCCACGTTCCAAACATGTAATCGTGTTTGATTTTCCATTGGAGCTCCCATGTTCCAAACGTGCCAACAATCGTGCAATCGTGCCCTTAATGCCGTTATCTCAAAAATGAATCGCACGATTTTCTTTGTCTGAACAAATAACCATTACTCCTGATGGTGGTGGTAATGGCCTACGATAAAAACTCCTTTGTTTTATTGTGGTTTTTTGAAGAAACTGTCTTCCATGTTTTAGGCACATAAATTCCACGTCTGAAAATCCTTTGACCAAGTCGTCTTGTTCCTCTAAATTCAACTGTCAAATAAATCTCATACCCATGCTCCACGTGTTTTATTTTAATTGGAGAAGTTGTTGTAAGCAAAAACTATCAGCCACTTCTAGTTGAAATTCCTTAAACTCAGTCTTGACCCAAACTCCTTCATATATTATAAACCGGCTTAGCCTAAAATTCCTTCCACGTGTGTATTTTCCATTGGACAAAAATAAGGGTGTAAACAAAAACATAACAATAATATAGTACCGATAAGCTTGTTGTTTAACAAAGCGAAATAGTCGTGTCTGGCAACAATTAAAGTCTTTTTAGAAGTTGCGTATTTTTATGTCTTTTTTTTAGCTTTTCCTACATTTTCCGGGAACCCAAAGGGAGCCTAATTTGATTCTCCTTCACATAAACTGGTTATTGCATCCTAAATATTGTTCCCTTATGAGGAATTGATTGGTTTTGGGAATTAATTCACTAGCCGAGCAATTTTTTGGGTAGCAATTGTACAATTATTTGGTTGTTATGATGAATCAGAATTCCTCAGTTTTTGAAACAAGTGAAATTAAAAAATAAAAAGAAGAAGAAGAAAAAAAATGTTAAAATCTTATGGTTCCTATGTGATCTTAGTTTTTGGGTTTTAGTATTATTATTATTTTTTGGTTAGGTGTGGGTTTTAGTATTAATCCTATACCATTTTCTATGTTATGGAAGGGCCGTTGATTGGTTCCGCGGTTCAATGCTTAAACATTAGTATTGTTGGTGTAGTTTCGAGGATTGTGCTGTAATAGGACTAGAATTGGGTAATGTCGTTTC